CCCACTACTGTATTTCTCTGAATCTTAAGATGCTGTCAAAGATAAGAGATACCCCAGTTTCTGAGATATTAAAAGGTGAAATATTATGGGCTATGAAATACAGCATATTAATTTAGTAACATGATCATACAAATGCATGTAGTCATGAGGCTAGAAGAGCATTTTAAAAATCCAAGTGTTGAAAAATAAACCAACGCTCTCTAAAATAACTCTTAAATGGGGGAGCAAAAAACATGATGTTATCTTAAAATATTTCAATATTTTTCCTTTGAAATGTTAAGAAACTGTTCTATGCCGATTGTGGTAGATGAAACATAAATGTGTATCTATTTAAATTCACATAACTATAAAATAAAATTAAAGTCATTGAAGACATTTTTAAATGTCCATTCAATGTGTCTCATCTTCTGAGGCCCATAATCCTGCTTCCCCAACCACCAAACCTGCACTCTGCCTCCATGAACCTACCCGTCAACACACGAACTCAGAGGACAGTTATTTCTCCTCTGACAGCATCACTCCATTTCATAACCAATATATGCCCCGTCTCCAGGCCAATATCCCTACTACCTGCATGTCCCAGCCCAGGTTTCTTGCTCCTCCTCGAGGGCCCTGTTCTCCTCCCAGCCCTATCACTGCTGACTCAAACCCTCTCCTCTCCTCTTCCTCTCATTTCACTCCATCAACTGTTTGTCCATCTCTTTGTCCACTGTACCCTGTGAAATCTGGGCTCTACTAGGGTGGGGAGGGGGGAGACAGATTTGCCTTTTGTCCTGACATATCTACCTCTTCTCCAGGATAGGGTCTGCTTTGAAAGGTGAAAAGGTACCTAAACATAGTAAGACACAGAGCCCCAAGATAATCACATTTTCCTTAGAAAAGTGAACAAGACTCAATATTTGGGGGTGGGATGTGGAATAAGCTTTGCAAGAAGCTTGAAAGTGTCACCAGAAGCCCACACTTTCAGCTGTTTGTGAACAATCCAGTGTATCTTAAGTATTTCTGAGCATGCTTCATTTACTTGCCAAAAGGAATCAACACAATCCTAGTAGGTCCCAGCTTGTCCAACTCTTCAACTGTCTAGACAATGTTTTAGGTCATCCATCAATGAATACACACATCTAATGTGTGGTAATTAACAATATCTGTAAATGTCACAAATTAAGAACATGAGAGCTAGAAGGCTAGTGGTATTCCATTTTACTAATCAGGAAATAGAAGCACAGAAAGCTGACTAGAAAAACTTAGGAGACAAGCATGGGAAGGTGATCCTCCTCAAAAAGACAAACTCCTACAAAGTACATGCTAACTCCAAATGGAATGCCTTATAGGTCCACTGGTTTCCATTACACAATTGATCTGCAGTCAAATTTACGGGGGTAAATCAGTTTACGGAGAAGAGCAAGTCAGGCAGGGCAGCTGCCAGGATGTGATATGGGTAAGGATCCACTAAGGAAGACACATGCACTTGGGTGCAAGAGCACAGACATGAACATCTAATGGGGATAAATGATAATAAGTTTGTAACAAATTTGGACATCTGGCCTGTGTATTGGCAGGACTTTTCCGTATTTCTTACAAAACATCAGTTTTCCCCATCAACCTCTAGGTAGCAAATCTCTGCTCAGGGCCTAAACCAAGAACATGCAAATGGAAGCCAAAGGGTATGAGGCTGAGGTGAGGCATTCCAGAAATCATGGGCAGCTGGTAGATAATTTGAAGCTGTTCTTTGCTATCACTGAGACCAAAAATGAGTGTTTTGGTCTCCATTCTCTAATTCTGTTGTCTCCTACAGTTCCCTCACGTGCAGTTTTCTTCCTGTCAATGCAAATTTTATTTCTAACTCAGAGAGTCCTGTTTAACTCCCACAAACATCCCTAAAGTTCTCTGAAAAAGCCTACCTGTTGCCTTCCTTCTTTCTGAACACTAATGCAACTTTCTTTGAACAGGAGCATTCAAATTTGTGTTGAATTTTGTTTGTGGGGTTTTTTAAACTTTTATTATACAATAAATATTTATTGTGGAAACTCAGAAAACATAAATAAGCCAAAAGAAAGCCATCATCCAGGGACATTTATGTGCACATCCTTCAGACATGTTTATTTTTACAAAAATAGCAGCACTCTTAATCTCCCACATAATAATGCCATCATTCATGCCAACATGCTAATGAAATCACTTAATAACCACTGAATATTTCACTTTAAGCATACAATGTACTTAAAAAATCCCTTATTCTTATAAACATGGGTGGTTTCCTATTTTAGGCTATTATAAGTAATTTTGCAACGAAGACACTTTCTTAAAATATCAAGTGTATATTTGTCTGATAGTTTTCTTAGGATAAATTATTAGAAAATCAGTAAGCCAGAAGGCATACAGCCCACCACTATTTCCCTTTAGGCCTTTTTATTCATATTGCTAATTTACCTTCCAAAAAGATGTTCTATTTACTCTCCTTTTTCTTTATGCATCAAAAAATATATTTTGTGCCTACTCTACTAGGCACTATTGACATGATCATTATTAATACAACAGACATTCCCTGCCCTCATGGAGCTTACAATCTACAGGAAGAGAGTGATGTCCACACCCACTCCACCACAAACTCGTTATTATAAGATCAGGTAAGCTAAGGTGGAAAGTACAGGGTTTTTCAAAGATCAAAAGGATTTTGGAAGAGCCTGATTACTGCCTCAAGGATCTAAAAGTTTCCACAGGAAGAATGTTTCTGAGCTGGAGCTAAAGTTTTGTTTTAAGTCAAGTGAAACCAGGTTGTAGAGAATCCTGGATAATATATTCTAAGCAAAGGGAGCAGCATCGACAAAGCCCTTGAGAAGAGAGGGAACATATCCCATTTGAAAAAATATCAGCAGCTCCCTGTGGCTGAAGCACAGACATAGTGGACAGAGTAAGGCAGGGGCCAGACCACACAGGCCCTCACAGCAGCGGCTGACTTCCTGCACTCTTGCCAACTGGTTAGGCCAACAGTTAATAGGCTAGAACAGTCACATGGCAGGCAAAGCCTAGAGAACTAACTACTGAACACAATAAACTATAACTCAGAAAATGAGTGTGATGAACTTTCAATCTGTTGTAGAACTTTTAAGCATACAATGTTATCCCATGTATTTTAAACAATATAATCAGCTAAATACATTAATTGTCTAGAGTACCTGCGTGCCCAAGGAGAACAAAACACATGAAGTCCTTGACTTTAATATTAAGACTGAGTCAATTAAAAAGTATTTAAGTTTGCCAGGAAATTTCATATTCATATTCATTTCATGCGAACAACATAAATATTATGTAAGGTCCTACTCTGGAGAAAAAACTGTTCCCATACTCTTTCAATCACTGTAATTAAGTGCATTTTATTCCAACTTATATTTTCTTATAAACCTCCACATAAAGAAGAGTTAAATAGTGTTTTAATATTTTTTAGAAATAAAAAATTAGAAGACATTAAGTATTCCTTTTGCAGTGCTCTTATTTACTCATGTGTATATCCAATTATCATAATTTAAAGGACACTTTTTAGTAATTAATTAGGCTATAAGAAAAAACCATAAAGTTTGCATCATAAAATTACGTCCCTAAGTTATTAGTAAGGGTCCTCTGTGACAAACACTTACAAAAACTCGGAAGAATCACTGCTCAGCAACCTCTTATAACTCACAAAAAAACAGACTATAATCTGCTATTTGTGAAAACAGAGGCTTCTCATAAAAATATCTTCCAAATATTTCCTATTATGTAAGAGAATGTCCATCAGAAATCCATTGTTTATTCTGTTTAAAAACATCCCTTCTACCCCTCAAAAACTTTTTTTTGCTTCAAGATAAAGAAAAGGCTAGATTCCCTAAGATATTTTGTGAACATCTCAATACAAGATCCAATGCGTTCGATTATTTACTGCCCTACTGTCTAAGTTAACCTGCATGTCCTAGAGCAATTTTCTCTACTTCATTGTTGATTAGCCCATTTTAGAATTCTTCAAAAACACACAATACAAAATACACAGGCTAAAACAGTCCTCACAAATATACTTTGAAATAGGTGTACCTCAAATATAAATAACTTTCCAGACCATTACTTTTCCCAATGACTAAATTCTTAATAAAAAAAAAAAATGGAGGCTTTCGAACCAATAATGTGTGCAGCCCATTCTCATGACATAGTCATTTAAACTTCTCATCTGCAAAACATAATGTAATAAATTATCAAAAAGGGGAAGAAAAAAACATGAAGCCCCATCTGGTTTACAAAATAAAAACCATAAGCATTTTAGAACATGTAATGCCAAATATTAAAAGTTATACATTTTGCTAATTTTTTAACTCCTTTTGATCATAAAAGTTAACATAGCACCAATGTAAGAAATTTAAAAAATACAGAAAAACAAAGAAAAAATAAACTCTTATAATCCTACCATTCAAATGGGATTACTGATAAACGGGGTTTCTAAAAAATTAGCAGTAACAACAGGAAACAGAATTCTTGTTTTAGCATATACTCATGGAAAAAATTAATTTAACTTAAACCCCACACTTTGCACTTTAATCTCTTTCAAATGAATCAGAGAACACACAATACCATGCTAATAGCAGGAGAAGGTGAAAAATTACCTCAACTAGTTAAAGGAAAAAAAAATATATCGGAGAGAATAATGAAAGTTCCCAGCACAGGAACTTGGGACAAAGACCTCTCCTCCAATCAATTACAAATACTACAGGTCTCTGTCTATGTCCTTCTCTCTCTCAGAAGGCACTTTAAAGTCCAATTCTCTTTTTTTCCCAATTCATTTAACTCTTCATATCCACCTTTTAAATTTTCTGACACAACCAAGAATTTTGTTATAGTTAATGCCAGAGATAATCATTACCTCTTGAAACTCAAGTATATGACTAACTTCTTATAAGTCCAAACTCAATACCTTAAAATAAAATGCTAATGTTTAAGATTTTCAAAATATTGACAACTTTTCTTTCTTTCTATACTTACTCAGCATGGGAAAGTTTTATTTCTTCCCTCTGTTTTGCAGAATAATTTAGGTTCCCACCTAAAACACAAATAAGCATAGAATCTGTTCATTAAAACTACTGTAAATAAAGTCCAAACATGCATGCACACATGCAAATATTTGCATTGGTATATCTTAAGGTAACAGAAAAGGCTATGCAAGATGAGAAAGAAATAGTTCAACCTCCTGGAGCCTACCCAAGGAAAAAAATGTATTTTAAGAATCCTTATATGACACCACTTCTCAATTTTAGCAATTTTTTGTAAATCTGGACTTACGTATTGCTTTAGGTTTTGTTAATTGGGATACTGTATTGATATTCAATAATAGTGAAAATTAGAAGAAATTAAAGGAAATTATCTATGATTATTTAAACAGCATGTATATATACATTCTTCTAAGTATCTAACAACCTTCAGAGGCAAGTCAGAAAAATTAGTAAGGGTAACATCAAAATCTTATAAAGAACAAAGAAAAAAAGCACAAATACATGTAGAATATCTTAGCAAAAGAAAAAAATCTCTAATTTCTTTCTGCATCAAACACTTCATCTTAAAATGCAAACTTGCAGCTATAAATTTGTTTACTTCTTATTTTTCAAAAAAATATAAGAGTAATGCAGAAAGGACTTCAGGTATTAAAAATGCCATACTTATTATGCAAATAAAAAGAACATCTAAAACTTTGCATTTGGACAGAAAAAATATGAAAACAATTTTAATAAATGTGAAGGTCCTAAATAAAATGAAATGTTTACATCACTATGAACAGATCATTATTATATGAACTCAAGCAGTGGCCTCTAAAGATGCATGCAGACAATCCAGGGACCCCAAAAAATGATCTGTCCCAGTTTAAGAAAATATCTTAACTTCTACTTACCTTGGGCACGATTCACCAAATAGAGTAAGACCACAGATAAAAGTGATACTGGAAATGAAAAAACACAGGGCTCTTAAAAAACATACCTCTTCCCAGTGATTCCCATATAATAATAATCACAAAGTAAAGCTTAGACAAATCAAATCTTATTTAACTAACATTTAAAAATAAAAACACTATTCACAGTATTTTTCAAAAATCACCAAAAATGAGTCACACACCATTTTCTCCATGGGCTACCTGAGCCCAGTGACAGCACAGTCAAAAACGAAGCTGAGACCCCACAAGGGACCAACACACCCATGGGTCATCCCTGCATCTCTTTCCTCTACCTTTTTTTAATTAATTATTTTTATTTTGGTATCATTGATATACAATCACATGAGCAACACTGTAGTTACTAGATTTCCCCCATTATCAAGTTTCCCCACATACCCCATTACAGTCACTGTCCATCAGCGTAGTAAGATGCTATAGAATCACTACTTGTCTTCTCTGTGCTATACTGCCTTCCCTGTGAAACCGCCCCGAACATTATGTGTACTAATCGTAATGCCCCTTATCCCCCTTATCTCTCCCTTCCCACCCATCCTCCCCAGTCCCTTTCCCTTTGGTAACTGTTAGTCCATTCGTGGGTTCTGTGAGTCTGCTGCTGTTTTGTTCCTTCAGTTTTTGCTTCCTTCTTATGCTCCACAGATGAGTGAAATCATTTGGTACTTGTCTTTCTCCACAGGGCTTATTTCACTGAGCATAATACCCTCTAGCTCCATCCATATTGTTGCAAATGGTAGGATTTGTTTTCTTCTTATTCTTATGGCTGAATAATATTCCACTGTGTATATGTACCACCTCTTCTTTATCCGTTCATCTACTGATGGACACAGGTTGGTTCCATTTATTGGCTATCGTAAATAGTGCTGCGATAAATATAGGGGTGCATATGTCTTTTTGAAACTTGGCTCCTACATTCTTAGGGTACATTCCTAGGAGTGGCATTCCTGGATCAAATGGTATTCCTATTTTCAGTGTTTTTCAGGAACCTCCAGACTGCTTTACACAATGGCTGAACTGGCTTACATTCCCACCAGCAGTGTAGGAGGGATCCCCTTTCTCCACATCCTCGCCAATATTTGTTGTTCCTTGTCTTTTGGATGTTGGCCATCCTAACTGGTGTTAGGTGATATCTCATTGTGGTTTTAATATGCATTTCTCTGATGATAAGCGATGTGGAGCATCTTTTCATGTGCCTTATCATCTGAATTCTTCTTTGGAAAAGTGTTTGTTCATATCCTCTGCCCATTTTATAATTGGGTTATTTGCCGTTTGGCTGTTGAGGTGTGTCAGTTCTTTACTGAATGACACCATGTCCATTTTACAAATTAACCAAACATTAGCACATGACCATTAGACTCCAAGAGGCCCATTCTTTGGATGTTAACCCCTTGTCGGATATGTCATTTACAAATATATTCTCCCATACTGTAGGATGCCTTTTTGTTCTGCTGATGGTGTCCTTCGCTGTTCAGAAGATTTTTAGCATGATGTAGTCCCATTTGTTCATTTTTTATTTTGTTTCCCTTGACCGAGGAGATACTTTAAGGAAAAAGTTTTTCATGTTTATATTCAAGAGATTTTTGCCTATGTTTTCTTCTAAGAGTTTTATGGTTTCATAACTTATATTCAGGTCTTTGATCCATTTTGAGTTTACTTTTGTGTATGGGGTTAGACAATAATCCAGTTTCATTCTCTTGCATGTAGCTGTCCAGTTTTGCCAACACCAGTTGTTGAAAAGGCTGTCATTTCCCCACTATATACCCATGGCTCCTTTATCATGTATCAATCGATACAATATATGCTTGGACTTATATCTGGGCTTTCTAGTCTGTTTCATTGGTCTATGGGTCTGTTCTTGGGCTTCTCCATCTTTTTAAGTGTTAGTACTTTCCATTACTTCCCAAAAATTCCTGCCAGCCTCTACACTGTTTATCTTTTACATGGAATCATACAGAAGTAATCCTTTGGACAGTTTCAATCTGAAAACACCATGTCCATTTTATAAATTAACCAAACATTAGAACATGACCATTAGACTCCAAGAGGCCCAAAGCCAGTGAAGACCACAGAAAGTCAAGTGCTTGGCTTTGTGTGACTAACTTAAGTTACTTTTTAAGTTAATATGCCAACAAATGGCACAGTATTTGTTTTGAGAACCAAATATATTAGAACTAAATTAAACTACGTATTAAAACAGCATAACCAGGCAATAACGCTTTCATGATCTAGTATTCTGAATTCTTACATGACATGGTTTTTTAAAACAACTAATATATATTTTTTTAATTTGATGTGCTTATTTCTAAACTTATGAGATAATAAAATGCACTCAGGTTATTCATAAGCTTAGTTATCTGCAAATACCACATTTCAAATATAATCTTTATTTTCTATAAATGAAAATAAGTTTGATAAAATCATCCCTGGGGTTTGCCATTTTAAAGCCATGATATCAAAGTTTTACAGACATCTTGATTATGTTACATGATAATTTTTTTCAGATGAATACAATTTATGCATATGGTGAAGACTGGCAATGGAAAAATGCTGATTTATTTTTGTAATTTTCAAAAGTTTCCTAATGCTTCCTATTTTTAACCAATGAATAATTACAGATAAAAAGGAAAGCAATTTAGAAGTGCACTCACACCTAAATCACACCAATGTCCACACATTCACACCAGGGTCATACTCAGGACCCTTCAAATGTTTCCACTTTAAAGAAGAAAATGTTTTTTAAAAACCATAAATATTTAAAACAGAATATAAAGCAGATTTCCATTGCTGCCTTTAAGGACAGGCATCTCTTGAAAAATGCATGAGTAAGAAAAAGAATAGGAAAGTCACCAGCTGGGACATTCTAATTCACAGACTAAGAATCAGGCAATTCTGAGAGATAAATTTAAAGAATTTTATTTGAAAGAAGAGAAAAAGAAAAGTAACAACACAGACCTAGAAGTATAAATGAAAACATTCTGCTATATACTAAAAGAAACTAAATATTGCCTCACGGCACACTTACAAGAAACACAGGCAATGAAGAAAACTTCTAAAAACAAGTATCCCCGAGTATCCAATATCATGCCAGCAACAATGGAAATGATTGCCAACCCAAGATTCTGAATGGACTGCATGCTACAATTTAAGAAATAAAAAAAAATACATTTCAATTTCAAAGAGTAAATTCACTTCAAATATTACTATCTATAAACCACATACTATTAGTGTTAAGCCATGCTTTCAACCAGGGATGACCTGATTAGGTGTGTTTTTTATCCCATGACTATTTCCATTACTAGACTTTATGCTCAAGGGTAAGGGGTCCTGACTTAGTAAGTTCAGTGGAAAGCCAACATTTTCCTGCTGAATGAAAGAAACAGCTAAGTGAACACCAACCAACGATGGAGTTTCCCCCTTTTGCCTTTTGGGCCAGAGACCAGAACTCACCTTCTTAGTTAGAAGCCCTCAGATAAACAGGCAATGGAATGGTAATGCCAGCGATTACCTCTGATAGGTTAGTTTCACTTTAACGCTCCTACTGGAGGCTTTGAGCATTTTTGTTGCCACAATATCATAAATAATATCATAAATAGATTAACTTACTTGTCTAGTTATTTCTAGATTCAGAGCAACATGAAAGCCTGAAGATGGCAATTCAGGACACCTGGAGTTTTATATGATAATTAAATTCATAAAGCAGAGACAGACATTATACAATTCACGGTGCAAATACTTACAAACCATACGCAGTTCCCAGCTGATGTTCAGGAACTACAAATGCCACCATCGGCCACAATGCACAGGCAAGCAATGAATAGGAGATTCCCAGGAGACACTACAGGAAGTAATACAGAAAAGGGTAAAAGGTGATTTAACTTTGATGCAGATTAGCAAAAGCAACATAATAGCTAATAAATGAATATTCATGCAAAGTTATTACAATTAGGCTACAACTCATATTCAATATAAAAAATTCCTGGCCCTAACAATATCCCTCTAGTAACAAAATACACACACACACACAGTCTTAACCATTTTGTATTATATGCATATGTAACTGGCTGGGCCCAGGGGACAGCCCAGGGGACAGCCCAGGGTACCAAGGAAGAAATAAAGCTAATTTGTAAAAAGTTATTACCAATGTTTCAGACAAGCTAATCTTCCAGTATTTACCATGCCCAGGGGACAGCCCAGGGTACCAAGGAAGAAATAAAGCTAATTTGTAAAAAGTTATTACCAATGTTTCAGACAAGCTAATCTTCCAGTATTTACCAGGAATTACAAATGAAGCAATCAAGACAACAATTATGCCAATAGCTCATCATCCTACCTCTGATTCATCAACAACCAAGTGGACAGGAGGGCAGAGAACCAACCACCACCACTGCTTGTTAAACATCATCTAATACTGATTTTTTCATCAATTAAAAAAGAAACCTTATGATTTAGATTAAAGTCAGATCATCTACACCTATCAGATTGGCAGAGATTAAAATACTGCCAAGGTCCAATAACAGCAAGGATACTAAGACACAGATACACATCACTGGTAAAGCTATGTTTCTATAATTATGAAAAGTCATTAGAGGAAAAGTTCCACAATTTCTATAAAGATGCTAAATGTGGAAAGCCGCTGTCTAGTCTCGCAATCTGTCCTGCAGAATTTTCACCAAGTGCACAAATACATACGTTCAAGATACTCGTAACAGAAATGCAGCATTTCAGCCTGTGGTCTTAAAATAGACATTTTGAAGAACAAATACAAAACTTGATGAACTTACTGCTTTTTGACCTACTAAGAGCAATGACAAAAGAATGCAAAATCATGGATACTGGGCTGATAGTTTTATGTTTGTTTTTTTGACACCTATGATGGAATGACTTCTTTTAATGAAGTACAGAAAAATAAATGGAACTAAATAGATGGAGCTAGTTAAGAATTTTGGCTTTTATAAGACTATTTTATCTCAAGTTCTGTTTCAGCATTGGTTACTCTGTTAAATAAGCCAGATGCAATTAAAAATACCTTATGCATTAATAATCAATATTTCTATATCTTAAAAATAATTATTTCATAGAATTTGAAACAAAGTCATTGTTTTCCTCACTGTCACAAGCTCTGCTTGTTTGGCTCCTGACAGTCACTTTACAGACCCTTCCTTGAAGCCAGGACTAAGCCCCCCAGGTGTTAACAGAGACATTACCATAGCAATCCAAGGGTTCCACAGAGTAAAGGCCAGAAGCACGTGGGAAGCAAGAGTGGTCACCACTGCACACAGGACCCAGATGATGTTCTTTCCTGTTTTATCCACCAGGAACCCAAATATCGGGGACATGGGAGCTGATATGACGTACACAATACTGCCCAGAGAATAAAAAAGATACTTAATGAAATATATCACAAGTATAGAAAAAGAAATCCAAAGAGTCCCTAAAACCATTAGGCGAGCAAATTCTAGCTCATTTAACTTAATATTCTTCTAAAATGGTCATTAGTAAATAGAAATATAAAGATATAAAGAGTGGCCCAAGACTTCTTTGGTTTTCCATTAATGCACAGATGGCCACTTAGAATCAAGTCCCAATAACTTCTTGGTTTCATACTGTGGAAGTTAGGTCACAATGTCTCTTTTATCTCATATAATGTTTGATTATAATTGAAGACCCACACTAAGCACTTAAAGATAATTGAAATACCTATTAATAGCACTTGCTGCCTGGGAAGAAAATCCAAATTTCTCCATAAAGAAAACTCTAAGATAAAATGAGAGAGAGAGAGAAATAAGCACTTTGGAGAAAACTACTCTGTTTTTAAAAATAAAGGCAAAATAAAACAGAATAAAAATAACTCTTTAGTCAACTTTCTTTTGTGATACTGTTTTCCCATCTTGTCTGAGATTCATCTTTCAGCAACTGGCTAAAGCTTTAGAGTTAACACAATTATTTCATTAACTAAATAAAATACACTGATGCCTATTTTTTTTCCCTTTTACTTATATAGCAAAGAGTACACACAAATCTTCAAAAAGCCAAACATATTACTACAGGGAATTAAGACGGCTTCTTTTTCTTAAAAGTAATACTGGACAGATTCTTTACTAAGTAACAGATAGAATTCTTATCTCAAATTATTTAAAGTGACAGCCTGAATTTAAACATTATGATTAAGAAGACACACCCCCACACTGCTCTGTCTAGGCAGCTGTCAATGAAAACTGATGAGGGGTACAAGAGGAAGCAAAAAATTTGATATGAACCCTGAATTTGGGTATGGCAGAATTACCATCCAGTAAATGGAAATGTGCCCAGTCACTATGAGCCAGTGCACTGTCCCCATTCTTAACAAGAAGCTTCCTAACAAAGAAGAAGTAAGAAGAGGAAATGACATGGCACACTAATCCAAACTCAAGCATTAAAATACATCAATATTACAAAACAGAAGTGTTATTAGGTATTTTCAAGAAATAATAAAAGTATTAAACCAATACTAAACCTTAACCTAAGAAAATCAGTTGTATCCCAGGATGCAAAACAATTCCTGGGTAAATATAAATTTTAACTAGAGAAACAAGATTTAACAGCTGGAAAAATTACATTTATGTGACAATTCTCATTATAATTTAATCAAAAAAATGGAATGCTAGAGAATACTCACTTCCCAAGGCCAATAAAAGGGAACACAGCAACATAATAGCACACACAGATGATAAATATGAGCCACAGCGATAAGGAGAAGTCCTTAACATCTGTTAATTTAATAACTTCACCTTAGAGAAGAAAGGGAAGAGGCTATCAGCATAATTTTTCATATCTGTCAAGATTAATCTTCTTTTATCATGTGATTAACCTTTGCAATTCAGTTAAAAAAATACATTTCTCAGTAAATTACTGGAACATAGTTTCTGGGATGATGTAAAAAGACATTAGAAAAAGCAAAATCTAAGATTAGTATCTACCTTCCTGCTCTCTTCCAGAAATACTCACCAGTTTGCAAAAGCACAATCAAGAATGTAAATTCTGCTAAAAACGCCTAAGGGGAAAAAAATTGGTAAGCACTCTGCAAACAGTAGTTGTTATTACTGTGTTATTTCCCAGCTGGATGGCTGGAGATTAGAGGGAAAAGACTAGAACAAACCAGTCTGGTCTTATAATGAAGAAAACTGATGACCAGCTAGCAAATTAGTCCTCATTTCTTAATTTAGTCCAGGTCCTGATTATTGACAGATGCTAGGGGGAAAAAGTATAAAAGCAAAGTCTGATTCTGTGCTCACCTCATTTTCCTTCTGATTCCTTCCCAAAGTCTGTAATCCTGCTTCTACCCTCTACAGCCCAGAGGCCCCACCCTCCCACGACACAGCCCATTCAGGCTCTGAGTAGTCAGGATTACTCAATGATGCTGGTCTCCTGTCGTTTAAGTAAATCAGGACAAAGACTGAATAAAGTTTACACATGTCTTAAGAATTTTAAAAAGAAGCTCTGGAAAATAGATGAATCTTTAATTGGCTGACATATTATGATCCAGTTGAAAAACTGCTGAAATAAGTCTGCAGACGTGGGTTCTATTTCTGACACTAAAAAACTGAATAATCTCAACCATAGAACTTAACCTCTCTGGGCTTCAATTTCCCTAACTGTAAAATTAGAGGCTTTGATTTGACAGCATAGATCTTTTCTGGCTCTAAAACGCTTTAAAACTCTCAGATTCTGCATTGTGGATGCAACTAGAAGGAATACTGAAAAGCATCTGAGAGTAAGGAATAATCTTAAGAAAAAGAATTGGAAAAGGAAAAGGGAAGAAAGAATCTCTAGATACAAGTTGCCTGTTTAGGATTACCTTTCCACTGTCCTCTTTTTACCAGATTGAAACAAGGAATTATAAGGAATAAAAGATGACAGAGAACACAGAGAACATCCACCCCTCCATTCCACAGGCCTTTAGAGCTCTGCAAGCAGTCCTGTACATACTGCGGGGCTCAGACAAATCCACTGTTCAGAGAAAAAGCACTCGCGGTGAGTCCAGAGGGCCTCATACACTTCTCAGTGACCCACCCAGCCACCAGCACAACTGAGTGCTGGCAGACAGCATTTAGGGCCAGAACGGACCTATACACTTCTCGTCAAACATCCACAGTGTTATAGCAGAGTAACCTGAGACAGAGTTTAACTTCCTTGTTTAAGATGACAGAACTAGTTTTAGCCAGGACCAGAGCCTAAGTTCCCGACTCCCAACTTAGTGGGTTTCCCACACTATCATATCACCTCTGACTTATGTAGAATCTAAGCTCCATAGGTATCCTAACTGAATTTGATCAAAAGGAAATGATCTCTCTCTGCTATTAATTAACACCTTACATGTGAAACTTCCTGATTGTTTTCAGAGTCTTTACATACACTCCTTTGCTCATCAGAACAATGCTGAAGTAAACAAGGTGGTACAAGATCCTCCATTTTAAGAAAGTAGAAACAAAAACACAAACAGGGTGAATAATTCACTATTTCTACTAGGCCCAAGAACTAATAAACTCTGCAGATGAGACTACAGCCCTGGTGGTCTAAATTCAATTCCACTGTTCTTCCCCATCGGCCACAATACTTCCTATGACAAACAAGGAGAAGAAACAAAATGCGGGACATCAAGATTCACTAACCAATCATAAGTGTGACCCCAAGGGTTGTGTGACCAGTAGAACCCAATGAAGTTTCAACCTTAGCATACAGCCATCCCATGAGGTTCATGTTTACTGTACTTCCCTGAAAGATAAGGAAAAAAAAAATCAACACAATATTCATTTATATCTCTACCATGTTCCAAAAAAAAAGGATGTGAGATGGCTTAGAGAAATAGCTATAATAGGATCCAGATTAAACAAGAGATCATTTTTTAAAAATATAAGGAAACGAACTAGGATAAAGCCACAGATAAGATTACCACACAAAAAAATGCCAATTTATAGAAAATGCTAGTGTTCAAAACAGCTCAGTACATTTAGGACTTTCTAGTAGCCAAAGCAAAAATGAAACATGAGTAACAAAAGTTTACAGGGTACTTAACACAAAAATAAACCTTAGCTCAGCAAATGCACAGCTTTTCCTGATACTGAAAGAAAAAATTCATCCCTAAGAGGGCAATGAAATTTACAGTAGATAATATCCTCATCCATTTATGCATACATTTAGCAACTACTGAGCCCTGATTATATGCCAGTCACTGTTATAGGTATTGGATTTATAATAAGGAAGATAAAATTGCTAGCTCTCATAAAACTTACATTTTGCTAGGGTAGAAGTAAAACATGTAGTATATTAAATAGTGACAGGTGCTTTAAAATATAAGGAAAAAATAAAGCAGGGAAAGAGAATATAAATAGGTGGAGATCTCAATGAGAATGTGACTTTGGAGTAAAGATTTGAAGGAAGCCAGCTGTGGACTATCTGACGGAAGAGCACAGCATTCCAGGCAGAGGGACCAGCCAGGGCACAGGCCCAGAGAGGTGGGCTGCTCAGTGTGCTGAAGGAATGGCAAGGAGGGCAGAGACTGAACAGCACAAACGAAAAAGGGAGAGGATGAGATGCAGTTCCTGGAGAGGAAACGGAGGTGGGGGGAGCTATAGGCAATGATGACTTTTGGCTTTTATTCTGTGTGAGATGGCAAGCCACTGGGGTTTTGAGTAGAGAAATGGCATGATCCTATACGCGTTAACAGATGCACTCTGGCTGCTACATTCAGAACAGACCACAAGTGGGGATGAAGATAGAAGGAAAAACATAAGTTAGGGGACTACTGCAATAATCCAGTTCAAAGATGATGGCTCTTGGACTAGTGGCTGTGGTGAGAAGTGGCTGTAATATAGATATATTTTTATGGTAAAGCCAGTAAGATTTGCTAATGGAAAATACGTGGAGTTGGTGGGGGTGGAGAGAGTAGTTCAGGATAACACCAAAGTTTTTGCCTAAGCAACTGAAGAGTCACCCATAACTGAGGATAAGAAAACCAAGGCATTAGCTGGCTTGGGGGGATGACAGGAAGAATATCAATAGCTGGGTTTGGGCCACGTCAAGTCTGATATGCCTACTAGACATCCATACGGAAATGTCATGTAGGAAGTTGCACAAACAGGTGTGGAATTCAGAGGAAAGGCCTATACAGATGATATAAATTCAGAAGCAAAAACATGATACTTAAAACTTCAAAACCATATTAGGTCACCAAAGAAGTGAGTGTCAAAAGAGAGATGTCCAATGCCCAAGCCCTGTGGTACTCCCAAATTTACAAGTCGAGAAAATTGAGATGAAACCATCAATGGCAGTAAAAGAGGTGGACAGAAAGGCAAGAGGAAAACTATGAGACTGTTGTGTTCTGGAATCCAAGAGAAAAAATCAAGGAATGGGAAGTGTCAACTGTGCTAAAGCTACTGACAGGCCATCCACTGAGGACTGAGAAATGAACATGTCCTCAATAATGTCAAAGTTCATATGGCTAGTTCTTACAGAATGCTAGCCAGTGGCACTAACAAATGAGCAATAAGGTATAAATGGAGACCTACTGGAACCTTTCCCCAATATCACTGAAAATATAAGCTCCTCAAAGACATGGATGTTGCCTTAATAATACTTTAATTCTAAAATACCTAACATGATCTGGCTTAGCAAGTATTGACTAAGCATTTGTCGAAAAAAATGAGTTTAAAATAAAAGACAAAGGAAAATCAAAAGGGTGTTTGACTTCCAAACCCCAGCTAAGAAATGAATGATAAGAAAAGTGAGACATCCACTGCCTGAAAGGTGTAATTAACAGTTCAAGTGTCTAAAAGCAGACAAACTCACAGCTTAGGCAACAGAAAAGTCATGGAGAGGGAAAGCCAGAACCCGTGTGAGCATTCTGAATATGCACAGGTACAAGAGAAACACAGAGAGTGAAACCCCATCTGCTCCAGCAGCTCTGAAATGGAATCCTTTGGCCTCATACATTTCACAAGGACCCTAAACACACCAGTCAGATCAGAGCCAAGCAACCTGGCTGAGGGTGGTGTGTCTGCCTGAGCTCTGGCTCACTCCCACCTCCACCTCAGGTTTCCCCACAACTCCAATAACCCCCACTCTGCCTCTCAGAAGCCCCTCAGATTCCTTTCTAGAAATGTGGGGCTCCTCAGAACACAGCAGAATGGTTCATAATTAATTTGTAAGCACACAGAAAAGAACCTGAAGATTACTAGAAACCACAATTGAGTCACTGAGAATGAGTCTTACTCAACTGATCCTTTCCTCCTTTGAAAAGTTATTAGACACTGAGATCCACAAACTGCTACAAACATACCTTGAATTGTATAAGATACATAATGAAGTACTCAGAAAATCCTTGTGGATAAAATTTAGAAAATATAATTATCACACCAGTTATCAACGAATTACAAGTTAAAATAATATTTAGGTGTTTCCTATCAAATTGATAAAATCACTTTTTAAAAGTGATAATAGCCTATACTATCAAAGCTATAATAAAGAGGATCCTCTCATATCCCACAGATGAGGATAAAAACATCTCTAAGAGGATAATATGGAAATCTATCTTAGCAATCCTAAGAAACCCTAACAAACTCTCTGACTCCGTAATAATTCCATTCCTAGCAACCTAGCCTTAGGAAACAATCAGAGATGCCAGTTTTGTAGAGTGTGGGACAAGATCACTATTTATAATAGTGAAAAATTAGAACCTAGGTATATAAGAACCAAGAAATGTTCAGTGACATGCATTATTTCATAAGATGAGATATTATATTAAAAACTTTTAAAACTTTTTGTACTAGATTTCTTCTTCCCTAAAAATGTTATAAGCATTTTCATGCCATTTATTAGTCTCTGAAACCTTGAGTTTTAATGGGAAGGATTTTTTTTAAAAACCTCTATTTAGAGGAGTTTTAGTGAAAAAAATCTAACAGGATTTGGGTCTGCCAAAACATCTTACAGGCTGCATTAACAAAAACATATTATTATTCCCTTGGGTATCCTATCAGATCAAGCCTGAAATACCATGGTCATTTCCAAGTTCCAAATGCTGGGAGGACAGGTCACCTGTAGTAAGTTCAGGGGCGTGATCACTATGGTCAGGTAGCTGAAACCTGTGTCCTGTGGCTCAACCATAGGAAATGGGCATGTCTGACCAAGAACTTAAAGTGTTGTCTTCATAAGTAAAGTGTTAGTGCACATTAGAGGAAATAAACATTAACTAGAGGGCAAGAGGCTGAGCTATCAGTAAAAACTACTTGTGCAGGCAGATTTCATCTCTATATGAGTTTGAGCTTCAAGTTAACTAAGTAGATGGGTTTCCCCATCACACAGTGAGTTTCCAATCACTGCAAATGTGCAAGCCAGTCTTGGACAGCCATATGTGAAGACTTTCATAGCAGGAATGTCTAAAATGGCTAATGAAATTAGACAAATAGATCTAAGATCCCTCCCAGTGCTCAGAATCTTTAAACTAAAGAATGCAGAACTAGCCATTTCAGACTGTTTCCTAATTGAAATAAGGTTAGAAATGCCTTAATTAAAGTTAGTAAATGTTATACTATGGTCTAGAGAAATATATAAAAAAGCAATTTATCATACACAAATATACTTCATCCTGTAATTTTTAAGCAGTGACTATAAGACTAAATAAATATTTTGTGTCCTACTTGGCTTCATTGTTTGTCATACTTACAATTCTAGCCATGCTAAGTTGGAGTCCAAATACCAAGTTTAATTCTTTGCCTTTAAACCAACTCACAGCATATGTATTCTGGGCAACTGCTAAGGACTCCCCACCAATCCTAAAAGAGATGAAAGGAAGAAAAGTCTCAGCTTTTAAAGAAATATCACAGTTACCTAGGTCGGCTTGTGACTACTTCAATCAACAGAATATGGTGGGAGGGGCACTGTGTTATCCCAAGGCTGGGTCATAAAAGGTGACATCTGCCTTTTAACTTAAATATTCACACTTGGAGCCCTGAGACACCTTGTCCGAAGTACAACCACCCTGAGTCCGCTATGCTATGAGAAAGCCAAACCACACAAGGTGGCCATATGTAGGCCCTCAAGCCAGCAGTCATAGTCTTTCAGTCATCCTAGCCCAGGTGCCAGATGTGTGGGTCAACAGCTTTTGGATGATTCCAGTACCCTGCTTTCCATGAACCTCCAGACATCAGGTGCAAAAACGAGACAGCCATGCTGCACCCTGTCCAAATTCCTGACCCACAAAGTCCACAAGCACAGGGTAATGGTTACTTTATACTGCTTAGTGACAGGGAATTTGATGTGCCACAATAATAACCTTGATGAGCAAAAAGGATTCTGAGTTAGCACAAAATCATCTATATGTCATATAAAATGTCCATGTGAGGAGAGTGGTCCATACCTTGTGAAAACACAAAAATTCACTTTCAAGCCACTATCTTCTACATTTGACATTCTCCTACTTCCTGGGTTTTAATTTTCCTTAAGTTCTACATATTGACCATTTCCCCTTCAGGCCTTCAATGTAGAGCTCCCTATCCTAACACAAAGTCCTCCTCACAACTCTGTCCTATTCCAAAATTATTTCCCCTCTCTTCTACTAATCCAAATTCTATCCTAATGTCAAGGCTCACTTTGTCTTTGAGGCTATTTCTGACCACACTTCCATCTGTGAATCCTTTTCATATTTTATACACATTTTTCTTTCCTTCCCTCTCAGTTAAAGCATTTTTGGGGGATATGTTCCATTCTCTTTGATACCTATGAGCGCTTGAGTAAGCTGTGCCATCTGCATCCCTCAGGGCAGGAAGCCCAAGGCTGGCCTCAGAATGGGCTTATTGAACATTGAAATTCATGAAGAGCAATCAACCTATTAATATTTTGCACACTTAAGCCTCTTTAACAGGAATCTAAAGGACTTGCACATTACCCACCAAAAAAAACCCAGCAAATTGTCCATGAATCACCAACCTAGAAATTGATGGTCTATACTTTCCAAATGAGCTTTGAATTATAGGCTTCAATACAACAGAAAAGTGAAACACCTAGGGAAATATCGTTTTCAGAGAACTATTTAATATTCAAGTTAACTATGACCACTCAAAATTGTTGCTTACTTTAAAGGAAAATTAAGACAACTAATTAATAATCTTATATATATGTAGCTAGATTTCAAGAATTTGAAATAATTTCCAGAACGGACAATAATATGTTCTTTGTAAGTCTTTAAGAAATTGATAGATGAACACTGAAATAACATTAGGATGAAGGAAACTATATATAACTTACCCAAACACAAACCTTCCAAATTCCATCAGCCAAAAAGCATTAAATATTCCACCCAGAGCAAAAACAACCTATAATGGAGAATATAATACAGAATCAATGAAAATGTAAGTTAGAGGTATTCAAGAGAAGTTAACTTATGATGAATCACAACTTCTACAATGGTTTTACTATCCCTTCCAAATAAATCTGTAAAATTTAAATTAATTAAGTATAATTTAAATATTCATCTGTCTCAAAGCCTAAAATAGACTATGTATTATGCTAGATGGGCATTTGTGGACTCTATGCAACTTAGGCATTCAACACACCTTTGCTGGTATTAGACAAGAATTCAAAAGTCAGTCACATAATCAATGAACTTTGGCCTTTCTTACCTGTCCAATGCAAACAAAGACGCTAAAAATAATGGTGCCCCATCTGTTAGAGGGAAAAAGAATGAATTAAGAGTTTGTCACCAAGACCTTCAGTAACAATCCTCTTTAGTTTTCTTTAACCCCCCTGCCTTTCTTCCAAAAAAGAAAAATGAAGTGCTGTTCTGCCTCTGAAGTCAGCAGCTTTCCTAGGCTGAATGCTAATCTACAGAATTGACTTCTGAGTGGATGCCTGAAGTTTTAAAAATAGCGTATGTTAGTTTAAACCATTATCATCTCTTAAACAAAACTTATTAAATAATCTTCAAGAAGTTCCCAGTGTTCCCATTTAAAAATGGACATTCTCTTTAAAATTTCTATTAAGAGTTCAGGATTTATTGCAAGGAAGTCTAGATTAAATAATTTTAAGTGATTATAATTCTTGATAGCTAAAAACTATTTTTAAAAGGACAAATACCAACCATGTTAATACAATTAAAAATCTCCCTACTCTAATATTCTACTTTGAATACCTGATTAATGTTTCTCCAGAATAATAAAATGCCAGTATTAGAAGCCCTTAAAGATTGTATGAACACACTGCACTTCTGAAACTCCACTCTCTCCCAGGATCCTTGTGAAAAGGCCACATCATATTCTACTGACTGATCTCCAGCACTGAGAAACTCACTCTGGTCCCAAAATGACTCATGGTCCCTCCTGTCAACCCAACCGAAGTCTTCATCATACTAAGTTGAATCTGTCCCCGTTTCAATATAATTTTACCCTACAGACCAAGTAAAATAAATTTAACTCCTCCTTTATACTCTAACTCTTCAAAAATTGGAAAATCCCCAAGTCGTCCAAACACTTAAGAATTTCTTCAATTCTTTTCCACCAGACGTGGCATTAGTTTGCCCTCTATATTACAAAAATATTCCCAGTCTACATCCCCCTTAAACTCTCCACCAACAACACACAGACAATCATAAGGATGGAAAGTGGCAAAGCTCATAGCATTGTTCCTTCTTAACATCACACAAAGTGCAATGCCCAAAGAAAGACAGAAAAATAAAACCTCACTGAGGCTGGGAAAGGCAAATACTGCCTGTGTGCCAAGTACTGTGCATCCACATCTCAATCTTCATAACCACCTGGCACAGCAAGAATTATTATCTGTACTTTATCAGTGAGAAAACTGCAGCTCTAACAAGCACAGAACAGCTCGGAAGAACTATGAAGTTGACAAAGTAGTAGCAATGGAATTCATACTCTGGTTTGCCCGATCCGAAGTGAGGGATAATTTAATTAGATAACTGAGTTACCTTATGCCATGAGAACCATTTACTAGTCCCAACCTTAAATGAAATACCAAACAAGTTTTAAGAACCAATTCCACAGATATAACAATTACTTTAAAAATTAGAGCAAATTATCATAGTCAATAAAGAAGCTTATTCAGTTATTTCTAAAAGTACCTTAATCTAGTTCTGTGTTTTCCTAACAATTTTACACATAGGTGAAATTTTTTTCAAGCTTACCGTATTCCAAATACTCGGTCTATCAAAAAGCCACCAAAGAAACACATAACCACATTAGGCCAAGAATACCAGGCATAGAGCAGCATGAATTTTGTAGTATTCACCTGCATATCCTATATGGAAAGAAAATAAAACTTTTTTTTCCAAACATTTAAGTTTAGCAACTAACACATCAAAAACTATTTGCATAGGGTAGGAATTTCTTAATCATTTATAGTCACTAACTGCTTTGACAGTGTCATGACAGCTTAGCCCTCACTCCAGAAAAATGGTTATACCTGGGATCCCTGGGAACTTCTTGAGTTCACATGCCACTTCAGAGGCTTAACAGAATCCAGGACCAATCAGATGCCCCACTATGGGGACCACTTCTGCCTGCATCTGCCTGCAGCTTCTATGTTATTACCTATATGCTACCCACATTGGGCCTCCCCCTACACAGTGAAAGACAGTATTAGCATATTCCTACCCTCCTCCCACTAACTCCTACCTTTCTTCCCTTTGTTCTAGAATTAGAAGGGCCAATTTATGCATTTCCCTGTCCAAAGGTAAAAAACTTACAACTAAATAAAACTACTTAATAAACAATCAAATATGTTTTTACAAAACCAAACTAAAAACACTAACATGGACAATCTTCTGCAATCAGTATCCTCTCATTTGCCATTCAGATGATTATGCAATGGGAGAGTGAAATGCAAACAAAAATCTGCCAATTTTTTGGCCAATATTGTGGAGACAGCACTTAATTAAGGTTTGAAATAATATCAAGTCACCAGTGCTATAAATGAATTATTTGTGGGCACCCATTCCAACTCAAGAACACTCCCCGCTGTATGTGGATGTGTTGACTACACGTGCTAAAATGGACAGTTTCAGAATGGACAACGTGAGAACTGACTATGCTTCAGCGCTACACCTGCTCCAGAGCCAACAAAAGAAACAAAGGTGAGAAATCAACTTACCCGTTTAACCTGACTCTGAAGGGCAGAAGGATTATCATAGCAAAAATAGCTGCCTATATAAAGAAAAAGCAAGTATTTTTTTATTGTTTATTAAGGTATCATTGATATAAAATCTTATAAACGTTTTATGTTGGCAACACTGTGATTATTACATTCACCCATATTATCAAGTCCCCCCCACACACTCCACTTCAGTCACTGTCCATCAGCATAGTAAGATGCAAATTGAGTCACTACTTGTCTTCTCTGTGCTATACTGCCTTCCCCGTGACCCCCTACATTACGTGTGCTAATCATAGTGCCCCTTAATCCCCTTCTCCCTCCCTTCCCATTGACCCTCCCCAACCCCTTCCCTTTGTTAACTGCTAGTCCCTTCTTAGAGTCAGTGAGTCTGCCGTTGTTTTGTTTCTTTGCTTTTGGGAAAAGCAAGTATTTTATAATAATACTGTCTATATAGAAGTTTCAAGTTGCAATTATTACTTAAATCATTATTTTAAACACTTTTACCAGGGGTCTCCAGGACTGACACTGAGAACTTTTTTGGGCCACTTCCTTGTCCACCAGCATTTTCTAAGTTGTAGCCAAACAACCCAGAGAAAATGTGTCAAATCATTTACAAACTATTACAGTGCACATATAGCAATATTCAGAACCTGGGCTAAGAAGTTAACAACTATTTGTTCTTCCATTTTACTTTCATCATGCATCATATATCTATTATTTTATTAATATTTTCATGAAGCAGCAATAGTTTCCTTATTTATAGCTACCAAAACACAAACACACTAAAAATTTCACATACATCTTCAGCAGTTTCCTGGTATGCTACCTGCTGTTACCATTTAGCTTGAAAGCAGAGGAACTACTCTGTATTAACCTGATATATGAAACCAAAATTCTGATTTTACAAACACAATAACCAAGGTCAAGTAATTTAGTGAATACAGCAACAGGAATGAAGAAAAATAAAACAGAATTCTAAAGAATTAAGTTAAAACATAATCATGTCTTTTGGGAAACAAAAATGGAGAGCAAGTTCACATTCATGCCCTCAGATTTATTTTTAAATATAGTAACAGACTTTCTGTAGGCCTCAGACTAATATTGCCTCCATTTCTCAACTAACTCTAAGTACATATTAGAAGCTTTCAGTTCAAAAGAAAAGAAATGTCATTAGAAAAGTATGGCTTCTGAAACCCAGGCAGGTAACCATAATTTACCAAACATAATTTGCTTGTGCAGGGGTAATTTTAAGTGTTTTGTGTTGTTCTTGTTTTTTGTTCATAAACCCAGCCATGTGTGATTCCTGCCTTATCGCAATAAGGAACAACAATGTCATGCTTTAAGGTTAATGGATAGGCATCTTCTTCCCACAAAGAGGGAGGGAAGGACACAAAAAGAGTTGCAAAGAAATTAAAACCTAAAGCATCCTTCGGGCCTATTTATATATATACCAGCAGTGGCATAAAGCTCTCCACCAAAATGTTGCTAAACCTAAATTACACCAGGTCCAGCAAGCCCCCTGAAAAACATATTGTCACTTCCATACCAAACTAATACTGACATTAGAATGTTGCTGAATAAATTAGTTGTTGCTGGAATATAGGCAAACGCTTTTAAAATTATCTCAAGAAACTGCTTTCAGAGTCATCAGATTTCATAACTGAAACAAACACTGCCAAGCTCACCGCAAGTCCAACCCAGCACGATTGCTTCACAGTGGCAGAGAGGAAGGCTAAGAGAACACACCCACCCACTGAGGCTATCAGCAAGACACACTCACACATTTTCCCAAAGAGAGAGAAATAATATAAAAGACTGCTAACGAATTATCCATTCCAGAAAAAAAGTGGGGTTTTTTTTCGGGCAGAGGGGCGGAAGGATAGTTAAATCTTTCCAAACTCCTTACGAAAAAAGTGTAATGAAAGGAATCTTGACGACCTAAGGATTCCTTCCTACCTGTGGCCGCAGGAAGGAGGTGCTAGTCTCTGGGACAGCAAGCGTGGGACAAACTTGGCCCAGCATGGTCTTCCCCGATCCCACCTGCGGGACACTATTAACTCCACAGACTTGGAAAGGGGTCGCGAAGGACAAAGAAGGGAAGCCCAGGGGCTGAAGCCAGAAGCTGCGCCGCGGCCGCGCGGCACCTGTGAACTCAGCGTGGCTCTCGGGGCTCAGGGAGGAAGCCCGGACTGTGACCAACAGTCCCGCCCCACCAGCCCGGTTCACCGGACGGCTCACCGAAGCCGAGGAGGCACATCAGCAAGAGCACCAAAAGCCGATGCGCCAGGCGACTGGGATCGCAGAGGGCCGGCAGCACCCCTGGGCCAGCAGAGGCGGCGGGGGCACCTCCGCCGGCCTCGCTGGGACCGTCTGCCAGCAGCGCTCGCGCTTCCTCCTCCTCCTCCTCCATGTGGCCGACCGAAGACCCAGAAGGGAGCGGGCCGTAGGTCCTAACGCACCGCCGCTGGAGCCCAGCGAAGACTGCGGCCCCGTGACCCCGGTCGCTCACGTGACGGCGGGCAGGTCACGCAGGGCCACGCTCACGTGAGCGGCCGTGATCACGTGGGAGCAGGGCCGGCGGGGAAGGCGAGGACGAGGCAGTGTTTAGCGATTTGGTCTCACTGGGGCCTTGCCTTAGGCGCCCACCGTCGGCCTTCGTTTCCTGCCCTGCTCCCATTGCAGGCCCGGTGCAGCTCCGCCAGGAGAAAATGCGGGGCGCCCTGCAGGCTTGACGCCCGGCGCCAATGACGCGAAAACGTTCCCGTCCTCGCTGCGTTGTTCTCCGCGTTATTTTTGATTGCTCCTGATGCACAGCTGGTTGAATACTTTGTGATGTTTTACGTCACATGTCAGATACTAGGAACACAAAATGAGATGAGAAGCTCTCTGTCCTCATAGTTTACGGTTTAGTTGGGAGAGATCGCCGAAACGTACTTTAGAAACTAGGCTGAGTAAATGAATGCTGAGAACAACGGCTGAAATAACTGACTTAAATAGGCATGCTTAGGAAAGCGAGACCAGTTGTACAGTTTAACCAGCTCTGAGCGAAAGTGGTGGCGGAGGGGGTGGGGAGGGCTGAAGCTCCTTCAACTTGATACCTAAGCTAGAATTAGTAAGAGTGAGCCAGTCGCACCTGTTTGAGGGGATAGGTTGGAGGTAGAAGGGGGTGGTTAGGGATAATAAAGGTGCACGCATGAAACTGTGTATTTATCTGGGAATGACAAGGAATTCAAAGAGTAGAAACACTAAATATTTTCCATGAGGAGCGATGCAAGGATTTTGAGCAGAGTAGCAAGAATGCAAGATTTGTGTTTTTAGAAATTCAGTGTGGCCACACAACACTCCACGCTACACACATTGCTTGGTGTCCCCAGGCTTTGTCAACAGAATTTTGAGAGACTGAATAACCGTGGGGATTATTAAGTAGTTAGGAAGGTTAGAGGTGGCAAGAGCCTATACAGGGTAAACAAAGGAGCAAAGAGACAGAATTAGGTATTTAAGGGTTAGAATGGGGCAGACTTTGTGAATAATGTTACATGAGGTCTGAAAGAAAGGATAGACCTGAGATGGTTTTCCCGGATTCCTAGCATGGACCACCAAGAGATCAGGATATAGCAAGAGAAGAGAGTGGGAGAGAGTGTCAAAAAGAGATTAGCTTGGAATGTATAGTCTTTGAGATGTCTATACACCACATCTCCACTTTAAACCTCCGATTCTCTCAGCTCCAGAGGAGGAGCCCCCCAGGCTAGTGAAATGGTCTTGCCAAGGTGACTAACCCCATCTTCCCAGTTATGGTGGTCACTTCTTTGTCCTCTTCCTTGGGGTCTTAGCATCAGTTGATGCAGTGGACGTCCTTCTCCTTCGTGGTCCCTTGACGCTCCACTTGCCTTGTCTTCTTCCTAGTTCACTGGGTTCTCATTTGCTATCTCATTTGTCAGTTCCTCCTCTTCTCCCTGAATTCTAAATGTTCAAGTGCCCCAAGTGCCCTTCTGGGCTCACTTCTACTCCTTCTGTCCGTAGCTTTAAATGTCATCACAATATGCTGTCCTGCAGGTAGCCATTACCATGGGTGGCTATTGAGCACTTGAAACGTGGATACTCCTAATTGAGATGTGCTGTAAGTGTAAAATACACACCAGATTTCAAACTGTGTGAAAATAGAATGTAAAATATTAATAGTATATGGATTGCATGTTACACTGATATTTACATATATTGTGTCAAATAGAATATGTGAAAATTAATTTCACCTGCTTTTGCTTTTCAGTGTGGCTGCTAGAAAATTTTAACTTTCATATGTGGCTTTCATTCCTATTAGTGGTGATTCATATGCTGAAGTCTCCAAAATTCGTCCATTCCAGGCTCCTTTCTTGAGTGACAAGACTCCCATTCTTACTGCCTATTTAACATCTCTGTGTGGATGACTAATAAGCATCTCAAATCTTACATATCCGAAACAGAAACCCCAAGTTCTGTCATACATACTAGAGCTGTTCCTCCCTACATGCTCCCCAGCAAAGTAAGTGACACATCTGTCCACAGTTGCTAGCCACAGGCCTACCAGCCATCCTTGATGGATTACTTACCTCCCTGCCTATGTCCACTCCACCTTTGGAGGTGTCTTGTCTTTATTCTAAAACATGTCCTGAATCCATGCACCCTCTTCATCTGCCAAAGTGCAGCAGATCTTTATAACTTTTTGTTGCTTATTTTTAAAGAGAAAAACATACACCTGGTAGGACACTCAAATGGTACCAAAGAGAATAGACCTCAAAGCAAATCTTTTCTGCCTCCCTATCCCCAGTAAGCTTGAGAAGTAATCACCATTACTATTAGATTCTTTCGTATCATCCTGGAGCTACCCATTTTTTTTCAACCCAAGAACATAGCCTAGAGATTGTCTCCATTTTTTTTAAACAAATGCAAAGGGTTCTGTTGTATAGATGTATTATACACTATTTAGTAAGTCTCCTATTAATGGACATTTGTTTCCAAACTACTATATATAGCACTGTAGTGAATTGCCTGTACAATGGTCATTTCACATATGTTGATTTTACTTATAGAATAAATTCCTAAAGGTAAAATTGCTAGGTCAAATAGACTTTTAAAATTTTGTTAGTTAGTGTCAAATTGTCCTCACTAAAATTGTACCAGTTTACAACCCCACCAGCAGTACATGGGAGAACCTCTTTCCCACACCATCCCTATCAAGTTTGTTGTCAGGTTTTTGGGTCTTTGCAAATCTAAGAAGTGAAAAATGGCTGTCGTAGTTTAGACTCAATTTACATTCCTATTACAATAAGTGAGGCTCAACATGGTTTTATAACTAATAGCCACTTACATTTTCTAAGAATTCTGTTCATATAGTTTGGTCATTTTTTAGATGAATCATTGACTTTCTCATTGATGAAACTCTTTGTCAATGGTGGGAGTTGCAAATATTTCTTTTGACTGTGATTACTGTATATTTTTCTATGTAGACTTTTAGTATAAATATATTTTTTTCATAACTCCAGAAATTTGCTTCCCACCCAAAATTTTCAACAGCCTTAAACTGGGTTCCCTACTTCTGCTGTTGTTATATTCCTGATACATGTTGCCCACACAACAATCAGAATGATCTTTTTAGTTTTGGTGTTTGGTTTGTCAAAGGATGATGAAACAACCACCTAATATCTGAGTTAAATAAGACAAAACTAGATTAATCATGTACTCTAGCAAGGGAGAATTGTATGGGTAGGCACAGTCTCTCACCAAGCAAACAGGCTGTTGATCCTATGTAGGGGTAAGTATGGAGTTAGGGCGAGGTGCATTTGGGAGACAGAAGGGTTGGGCATCATCTGTCTAAATGCACTAGCTAATAACTCCAATATCAGATAGCCGTGGAGATAATGTGCATTCTTGCCTTGGACAAACTAAACTTGCCTGGGATAATACTAAACAAGCAAATAGAAGAGAAGGGAAAGCTCTTGTTTATTAGTTGGAAAGCAAACTAATAAATGTAGAAGGAATGGTGGAAATAGAACATCACTGTTCGGCAACCCTTGTAGTAATTTATTCAGGCAACAATCATCAGTGGTTGCTAAAATCAGTAGGTGAAAGTTCAAAGGGTGATAAGATATATACATATTTTCAAAGTATCTCTTCACAAGACACTTATTAATTATAAAAGGAAAAATAGTGCAGAAACCTGGCCCACACCATCTTAACCAAGTGATCAAAGTTATTACCAGTGCTGAGACAAATGGACATCATGTACCTCCTGGTATTATGCACTGAAATGAACACAACCATCTGTGGTATACCTATCACAAGTTCAAGCCTGAATCTAATCATGAAGAGACATTGGAGAAACCCAGACTGTGGGACAGTCTACAAAATAACATAACACCTGTAGTCCTCAAAAACCTCAATGTCATAAAATACTAAGGAACTGTTCCCTGTTAAAGCAGACTAATAGGCATGACAACTGAACACAACACATGATCCAGAATTTCTTTAGTCAGAAGGACCATTACTGGAACTGTTACAAAATCTGAGTAAGGTCTATGATTAAATAATTAGTACTCTATAAGTATTAATTTACTGATTTTGTCTGTTGTACTGTGGTTATGAAAGAGAAAATACTTCATTTAAGAAGACACACAGATATTTAGCAATCAAGGGACAATATGCCAGCAACTTACTCTCAAATGGATCAGAAAAATTTGTACGCGTGTATACACACTTACATGTGTAATATGGATACAGAGGGAGAGAAAACAAATGTGGTTAAATGTTAACATTCAGGGAATCTGGGAGCAAGATGTATGGGAATTCTTTGTACTAGTCTTATTGCTTTTTGTGAGTCTGAAATTATGTCCACAAGACTTTGACCACCTGAGAGTCAACTTTGTTCCTCAAACACCTAGTACAGGTCCCAGCTTGAAAAATTTTTAAGTGGATGAACCCCTTAAATCAAAAGAATTGCATCAGTGAGTGGTGTAATAAGGAAAGTTTACTGCCATGCAAAAACCCATCCTATTTATATAATAAACTTGTTTATCCTATCTGAATTGACCTCTTAATTAGTCAAGCAAACTGCACTTATTCTATAATCACTGAATGATAGAAAAATGAGGATGACTGATTGAATGAATGACAGGTTTAGGCTTTACTATTTGGGACACAAGACCATTGGATTGACCAACCGGTATCACTGGTGAGGGGATGGCTGCAGCTTCCAGAGCAAAGTTTGCCCCACCGACAAAAATGAGGGTAGGATTCTAGATTGAGCCTTCACATTCCTTAATTCCTACTACTCCTGAGGGCTGTGTGGGTCAAAACATTCCCTTTATTTCCAAGCCAAAACCTTTCAGTGCCTTCTTTCCCTCCTGGCTTGCCCCCACCCCCACTCTCCCTACCAGCAGTGTTGTTTCTAATGAGGGACAAGTGGGAGGAGTGTCTGGTTCTGCTTGGAAACCCAGAAACAGGGATAAGTCAGCTTGACCTCAAAGAATGGAGAAGATTG